CAGGAATTAACTGGGAAGTGTGATCCACTCAAGTTTCTCTCAACAGCATTGGCAGGAGCTCTCCTGGCAATCCCAGGCTTTACAAAGATGGCTAGGATGCTGAGGTCTGTGGATAATTTGGGCCCTAGGGAGCTCCATCACCCCCGCCTGTGGCTTATGAGTGACCTTTAATGGTCGGGGACTGGAGCTACTCTGCTAGGAAAGCTGGCAGTGTGGATTGAAGGACACATTGTAGAGAAACACCTGCTGCTGCCTGGAAACTGTTTCCAATGGGCCAAGCCCTCCTCAGCAGCCCTCTCCCTGTGCTTTCTTTGTGAAGCTCTCAGTTTTACAGGCAAAGACGGAACCCAGAGTCACACCGCTAGGCAGGTCTTCCCCATACTATGTGCATCCAGAGTCAGATTTAACCACAGGGTGATTCCATGGGGAGCAACCAGGCCCTATCATGGCACAAGTGAGCACCCACAAAACAACACCCCCCATTTCTCTTTTCTCTTCCCAGAATTCCAGCTTTGTTTTCTGGTGACTTCCATCTCTCAGAAAGCCTGGGTCCTCAAGGCTTGATGTTTGGATCATCTTAGCCTCCAGCTCAGGTGCCCTAAGCAGAATCGGGGTTCTCAGCGATGACAGATATGTCGCCTCTCATAAGCATCCCCTTGTGAGCCCCCAGGGATTGTGAGTTGTCATTTTAGGCAGGATGTCATATTCCAGGCTAGCCAGGAACTCTCTCCCAAGGATGACCTACCTGATTTTCTCTTGATCCTCTTCCTTGAGTGCTCAGATTGCAGGCATGTGCCACCACGTCTGATTTAAGGGGTGTTGAGGGCTTTATGGATGTTAGCCAAGTGCTCTCCCAGTTGAGCTACATTCCCGGCCCTGATATTAGACGTTTAAATCTTGTCTTTTACCTACATTTTAAGTTTGGGCCTAGGGGAATATGTTGCTACTGGTAACGTTGCTAAAACTAAAACTAAAAACCCCTGCGGGCATGGTGACACACACCTTTATTCCCAGCACCTGGAAAGTAGAGGTGGGCAGATCTCTGTGAGATTAAGGTTAGCCTGTGCTACATACAGTTCCAGGTCATCTGGGGCTCTATAGCAAGAGCCTGTCTCAAAAAAAAAAAAAAAAAAAAAAAAAAAGCAAACTAGACACCATAAATGGTTTTTGTTTTTTGGGTTTGTTTTTTTTTTTTTTTTTCAAGACAGGGTTTCTCTCTAACAATCCTGTCATGGAACTTACTTTCTATTGGCTGGCTTCGAACTCACAGAGATCCTCTGCCTCTGCTTCCCAAGTGCTGGGATTAAAGGTGGGCGCCACCACCGCACGGCAATGATAAATGGTTTGAGCGGATGGAGAGTTTATCTGCACGCAGACAAAAGGATCTTGCCTGGTCCAGGCTTCACAGGTCCAGAAGTGATGTAGGGTATGTAGACTGGGATGGGAGTGGTGTGTGCATTCAGTTCCCATCACGAGTTGGGACACAGAAGACTGGGCTGAGCCTCTGGCCATTCTTACACGGGGTGCTTGCCTCCTACCCAGACACTTTAGCCGCTACAAAGCCAGGCTACCCTTGGAGCACTGTGGAATCCTCGGTGGGCAGGCTCCCGCTCAGATTGACAATGTCACAAGGCAGGCCAGCCTTGCCCCTCCCATGACTAATGATGGATGGTGGGAGACTGTGGCGGCCTGCTGCAGTTCCCAAGGGTTTTTGTTTTTGTGGTTTTCTTTTCTTCTCTGTGTGTGTATGTGTGTGTGCGGTAGCAAAGGAAGGAAATGAGAGTGGGAATAGAGTATAGCGCTGCCTCCTGCCCCCACCCCCTGCCCCCACCCCCTGCCCCCACCCCCTGGAGCCTGGTCAGTGATGAGAAGCTCTGCAGGAAACACCTCAAAGTCGCTGAGGGTGTTCCCCCACGAATGTGGCTTGCTGAGGTCTGGGGCCAGGAAGGAAGGAGCCAGGACTAGCAGGCAAGGAAGGAAGAGGGGGAGGCTGGGAAGGCACGAAGGTGACAGGCTGACTGCCACCTACAGTACCCACACACCAGGACCTCTGTGGACAGCCTGACTTGTCCCTATGACTCCCTATGAGCTACTCCATTCTATAGGACTAAGCCTCAAAAAGGAAAGGGACCGGAGATTGCTAGCTGCAGAGGACAGGGTTGAGACAACTGGCTCATGTCCCCAGTCTTTGTGGCTCTTTCAGCCTGGCACACTGAGCCCAGGGGACAAGGAGCGGGATCATCACAGAAGGCCTTGTGAGAAATCAGCTGCGTTCTGAGGAGAGAAGAGAGGGCCAGGCAGAGGTGGGGACTACGGGATAGCTGACAGGAGCTAGGTGTGGAGGCTGAGAGGCAAAGAGGTGGTTCCAGGCTGCCCTGCACGGGAGAAGAGCAAAGAGGCTGGGGACAGGCTCCATCCTGTGGGACATGCTGGCTGTGCTGACAAGGGCTAACAGATCCCATACACACACACACACACACACACACACACACACACACACACACACACACACACACACAACTTACCGGCCAGACAATCAGTGAGTCCCAAGACAGCTTTGAGAGACAGTTCATGTACCCTCAAAGCTTGGCCTGGATAGCAGGATGACCAAGAAGATGCCATAAGGAGTCTCTCTGGGTAGCAGGGGTAGGAGATTCCCAAATCACACCACTCTTAGTACTGAAGAGCCACCAGCCAGAACCAGCAGAGTCTCTCATTGTCCCCCTTGTCCTCAGTCTCCCTGACTCTACCCTTTGGTCTCTGGCTACCTGTGACTGAGACTTAGGAAGGTCTTCAGGCCCTAGTCACCGCCAGGCTCCTTGCACAAGGTATACTTCCAGTCAGGAAACCCAGATGCCCTGTTTCCAGGTCTAGGGACCCTCAGGAAGACAGTCTGGAGGCTCTAAGAAGGACTAGGCCCAAGTCTTTCCCCGTGCCATGGGAAGCTACTCAGCCTTGGGCACACCCTCTGAATCTGTCTCTCCTAACCAGACATACCCACCAACCTCTTGCTCTATTAAACAAACACTCAAGGTCCCATTCCGCTTCCATCTGGCCCCTAGCCCCATCTCTGCACTCAGGATCATCTCCCAACATTGTCTCGCAGATTATGGCCTGGCTGGGTCATGGGGTCATAGAAACGCCAGGGGCCTGGCTTTATGGTTACCTTCCGTTCCACCCTCCTCAGTTAGCTCTGCGTTAGCTCCCTGGCTGGAAGGTACTGACAGCATGCCTGTTTCATGGCTGACAGGTACAGAGACTTGCCCATGGTCAGGTGGGGCAGGAAAACCAGGATGGGCCCCTGCTGGACCTGGAGAGGGAGGGGCCTGGGACTCACAAGGAGGGTGCAGGGAGGTCGAGGGGTCTCTGGGGAAAACTCATCTAAGATCAGGTTTCTATCACCCTAGAACCCTGTCTGCAGTGCCAGCAGGACTCTGCCGGTCACCGAGGGGTGTGTGTGGCAGCAAGCAGGGTCTCCTGGCCAGTGAGTCACTCACTTCCCCTCCTCTGTGACAGAGGTGCCTCTCACACCCTGAACTTTAGGTTGTGAGGTTTCAAGGCCACTTGCCCTCCACAGGCCTCAGTTTCCCTACTAGCAGGAAGGACTGCTTATCAAGTGTCAACAGTTCCAGGCCTTCACCTCAGGCTTTGGAGCCTGGGAACCTCAGCAACTTCACTTCCTCATTCCTGCCTGGCCTACCCTTCTCCACAGAGGTCTGTCTCTCCCCCGCTGGGCTGACCTGCCCCTGGCATCCAGCCCTGATACACATGTGGTGGGGGGTCAGAATGCCCCCGACACCTGTTCCGGGAAGGAGCTAAGAATTCTGGATCTCCACCCCAGGGCTCTCAGCAGACCCAGACGCGCTCTGTGCTTAAATCCTAGCACAGGGAAGGGCCAGACTGTCCGGGGCATTTAGTACCCTCTGGCTGTCTACAGCACAGGGAGAGGAGTCTTGCAGAACAGGGAAAGATGTGTTGCCCACCCACCTCATACTGCAGTGTTTTAGAACCCTGGTCTTACACTTGAGGAAGGAAACCACTAGGTTTTGGGGACCCCAGGCCATCGGCAGGTACCTGACCCCACACAAGCTAGTGTTAGAATCAGGCCCAGAGCTACAGGGGAAGCCTGCTGGGAACAGCAGGGTTAAGAAAACCATCCCAGCCTATGCCATCAAGTCCCTGTCAATCCCTGGAAATTGGAGCCATCAATGCAAATAGGTACCCAGCCTTGCCCCTCAGACTACAGACAAATTTCAGCAGTTATCTAGATAGAGGGCAGTTGCAGTGTCCCCCGGAACTGTATCTACGGCTGAATCTGAATGGTTACCTTCCCACCCATCCACCACCACCACCCATGAGTGCACTGTAATCTGGCAACTTTTATTACTGGAAAGTCCCTCCTATGTGAAACCAGAATTCCTCAAGCCACAGAACCGGTGGTCACAAGGGCTCAGGTTGCCTAGAATGGGGCAGAGTACTGACCACCCCTTCTGGGCAAGACCAGCTTGTATCTGAGGTTATTGGACCCAGGGTCCTGGTGAAGGACTGGCTTTGTTAATTTATTTGTTTTTAGTTTATGTACAGGTGTTTTACCCCCACGTATGTCTGTGCACCACACACGCGGATGCTCGCAGAGGCCAGAAGAATGCACTGGACCCTCTGGAACTGGAGCAAATGACCACTTATTACCATGTGGGTGCTGGGAACCTAACCAGGGTCCTCCGGAGAGGGAACTGGTGCTCTTCGGCTCTGAGCCATCTCTCCAGCCCCTAAAAGCCTGTATCCGCAGCTACAGGCAGGGGCTTTTCCAGCTCAGGACTTGCCTCAGTCATCTGGTTCATTCAGTGGTCAGCAAAGGGCTGACCTACCAGCAAGTCACCAATCAGCCAGCATCAACCAGCTAGTCACCACAGTCGGCCAGACCATGCCTCCCAACCAGATAGTCACCACAGTCTGCCAGCACCACGCCTACTGACCAGCTTAGTTTACCCAACTGTAGGCACTATTTTAATTCACATTTATTTTTAGAATACTCAGCCACTTACTGTAGTGAGGATACACCAGACAGTTAGAAAAGGAAACCTTCCTGGCCTGAAGTCCTGGAAGGAGCCTCAGCCACCCCGAAAGACTCCCCCACAAATGCCTGGAATGCCTCCACTCTTGAGTCCCCCTAACAGATAAAAAATTCCATGGCTCCAGGCTTCAGAGCTGCGGGTAGGGCCAGAGTGACTCACTAGGCTTCCTTCTTGGGGTCAGTCACGGGGAGGGTGACAGACCCTCCGCCCACCCATCTCCTGCCTGCCCTTCAGCCTAGATGCACGTGATCAACACGTCCACGAAGGTGGGCACTTCGATCTCTTCAAAGAGCACACGGCGTGGGGAGGGCCTGATCTCAGGCGCTGCCCTCAGCAAGTGTTGGGTGTGTTGCAACAGATTATGATTCCTACGGCGACCGAGTCTGCGCAGCGCCAGAATGGCCAGTACGTGGTCACGCCTGTAAAGACATGGGGGTCCTTACCGCAGAGTGGTGACCCTGGTACCCTCCAGCCCCGCCCCGCCCCTAGAGAGGACAGGATCCAGGGTTGGGAGGAAGTATGATTCAGCCAGCATTCCTGGAGCTGGGTCAAAGAGGCTGAAAGGCTGGGACCATCCCAGGCTGGGAGGGGATGAGGGTTCTAAAAGGAGGCGGGATTGTGGAGCTGGGGGTGCACAGCAACTAAACCTAGAAGCACACAGGCATGAGATAGGGGAGGGAGCACGCACACAGTCGAAAGAAGCTTTGAGCAGAGGCGAAGCAAGGAATCTGATCTAGGGAAGGTTCCAGAAACTGACAGAGAGCTAGAGGGGTGGAGGTGGAGGCCAGGGGAATGTCCTGGCTGTGTGCAAGACAAAGCAGCAGCAGGGTGGGGGAATCTGGAGACTGGAGAGGGATGGTGAGTGGGGGAGAGGAAGGTACAAAGTGGCACCCTGAGCCACTGTTCCTTACTGGTTCCCCACAATTGTCCAGGGCTTGGAGCTAGGAAGGGAGGGCCAAACCCAGGCTGGGGAACCCCCAAAGATCTGTAGGGAAACTGAAAACTTAGATGGGATCGTCAGCCTGAACCAAATCTGGCAGAGCAAACCGGCAGTCCGCAGCCGCAGCCGGGAGCCAGGGAAGGGTCTGGACCAGGCCTTTCAGCGGCTTTCCATCCCGGAATCTCTGAGCACGTTGGAAAGAGCCGAACCGGGATCCCTACGGGTTCCCGATGACTAAGCACCCCGCACAACCCGGGATCCGGGTCCGAGCCTCCTTTCTGTCGAAGCCTCAGAGGGATTCCAGAGAGGGTTTGCGCCTGGGGGCAGGGGAAGCCGCGTTGTCCACGGGTGATAGAGAACACAGGGAGAGACGGCCCTTTTTGCCTAAAGTCCCTGTGCCCTTCCCTCGTGCGCATGCTCCGCTGAGGCATTGAGTTCTCTCAGCCGGGATAAAGTGGCTCTTCCCTGTCCTACTCGTCCGCAGTCACAGCCAACAGGACTTTGCTGAAGGCGCGAGTGCCAGTTACTCCTGACTCCTGGTCAGAAGCTAGTGGGGGAGGAAGGCCTGCAAACCTGATGTCTGGGTAGCTGCGTATAAGTGTCTCCAGATGCCGCTGGATGTCGTCTTTGTAGGTCTCGCCCAGGATCTCAGCCACGCACAGGATGGCTTGGTCCAACCACTTGGCTTCAGAGCCCTGAGAAGACAGGGAGATGTGTGCCGCGGTCCACTTCCCCGTGGAGCTCCTTAGTACAACCCCTCCTTTAGTCCCCTGCTACACCCATCCCATGTATCTCCCGCGGGTGGTTTGCCACTGGGGCAAAGGACAGAGGGAGCATCTGCAAAGATTCTGTAGAGATGGCTTCTTGTCTGCACAGATGGGAAATCCTCGCCCTGACCAGGGACATGCAGCAAGGAGCCTGCCGACAGTAGGAGACCAGCAGCCCAGATAAGAAATTTGGGTATGGCTCAGACTGTCCCGGATCCGAGTAGGGAGAGACCGCCCACAGATCTTGCCCATCACAACCTTCACCTTCATCTGCAACTGTGCACAAATATGAAGTGGCCTCCCCATCTGGGCCCGCACCTCTCTTCTCTATGACCCTTTCCTACACCCGCCCTGGGTTTTGTTTTTTTACAGGATGAGAGTAGAAAGTGCCTGACTGGCCAGAGGCCGAGCCCTGCTTGACATTCAGATGTTGCTCCTACCAGGCCCTGGAAAGTGTTGCTAATGGCCTGCGCGTCCAGGCTCATCTTATGGGAGCCGTTCACACGGTCCAGGCCACTGAACCTCTCGTGGGGCCTCAGCACCTGCCCCAGGTACTCGCGGACCACAAAACGGTGAACCTCCTGCAGAGTCTCCTGGAAGAGTGAGGTTTTTGGGTCAGGATAAAAGGCATGGGCTCTGCACACCCATGCCAGCCACCCCACTTCCTGGTACCTGTGCCAGTAGTGGGGTCACATGCTCAAGATGATGTGCAAAGTCCACCACCTTGACCATGAGGGGACGCAGTGTGTCCTGTGTGAGCCAGCTCTTGGTATGCAGCATCTTGAATAACGGCTGGGGACAGAGGGACATGGGAGTGAGCTCCGTTCGCCATTCCTAACCCCCTTCACCGCCGGGTTCTCTTGTGCCATCCTCTTTCCTGAGCACAGATTTTTATCACTGCGCCTTTCCCAGAATGCCTCCTTCAGTGGGCATGGTTTGGGTTTAGTGTCTTGTCAGGCCCTGCTTGTCCAGAGCTCGGATGTTGGTCACAGAGAGGAAGGGATTACAGTGGAATGGTAGGTGCTTCCCAACTGCTCTTGCTCAGCTGGGAACTCACTTAGGGTGAAGGAATGCCAGGGACGGAGGGCACCGCTGGGCATGGAAAACCTCCAATTCACCTGTATGTCTTGCTGTGTCATCTGAAGCAGGTGCTTCTGGAAGCTATTGGTGGCAGCCACAAGGGGTTTCTCCAGTTCCTTTACGGTTCCAGGGAACCTGGCCAGAAGGCTGGTTCTGGGGAGGGGCCAAGACAAGTAATAAGCTGGGCAGGGGGAAAGAGGCTGGGGAATAAGACCCAGCTAGCATAACCCTGCAGCCTGGGCACTGCACGGACTTCATTCATTTACCAGTGGTTCTCAACCTTCTTAACGCTGCGACCCTTTAATATAGTTCCTCATGTTGTGGTGACCCCAACCATAAAATTATTTTAATTGCTTCTTCATAACTGTAAGAATTTTTGCTACTGTTATGAATTGTAAAGTAAATATCTGATATGCAAGACACCTGACACGGACTTCTGTTGAAAGGACTGTTCGATCCCCACCAAAGCGTCTCAACCCACAGGTTGAGAACCGCTGATTCAGACTGCTGTGAAGGGCAGACCCTGGAGGGGTACAGAGTAGCAGCCATGGAAGCAGAACTGAATGAGGGGACAGTTTTAGAGTCATGGGAGCCAATCAAACTCTGGCAGCAGAGTGGAAGCTCAACTCCATGACAGAGGTCCCATCTGGCAGCTTTGGGACAGCCCTCCACGCCTCTTGGGACATTGTCACCCAGCCATGTCTGGCACAAACTCGCCACTGAGCTTCATCATGCCTCTGAGGATGACAGTACCCCACTTCACTGTTGAGAAAACCGAGGACCAGGCTCTACCAGTGCACAGCGCTAGCTATCAGACAGAGAACGCTTCCTGGGGCTGAGTGGTCATTGTTGTTGTATAGTCCATATCCCCCTCTTCCCCCTCCCCCCCCACCATTCCCCACCCCCACTGCTGAAGAGTAGCCAAGAGCATACTGGGAAGCAGAGCATCAGTGTGGCCACTCTTGGGACACAGGCAGAGCTGGTTTAAGTTCTAGCTGTGTGACTTCCTGGTTGTACCAGTATCCACTTGTCCATCTGTATCTGGTACCCTGGCCGTGGGATGAGGTGGATGAAGCAGGCACATGGTGCCTGGTGTATCGCAAGCGCTCATAAAGAGCTCATATGAATTGAGTGCCCACAGTCTGAGGAAGCAAGCTCTGGCTTTGTTAGAAGACAAGAGGCACAGAGATGAAGTGATGTCCCAGGGCACACAGCCAACAATGGGCAACACAGGAATTCGAACCAACCAGGAAACCTCGATCTCATGCCTTCTGTTAATGGCTACATTCCCCAGCCTAACATATCTGTGGGGAAGAGTGTACCCAGTGTGCCTGGGGTCAGGGCAAGGTAGCCGTCTCTCCGAAACAGAAAGGGAGGGCCTTGCATTCTGAAAGTAGAGGCGCCTGAGATTGTCCAGGATGGGGTTCAAGGAGGGAGCTTCTCCGAGGAGGAGGTAAAAAAAAAAAGAACGGAATGGGATTGAGGAAATAATGGGATGAAGGAAATAAGCGAGGAGCCCTGGGATCAGGGGATCCCTATCTCCTCAGCCTCTGGTCAGCCTTGAAGCTCCACATTCCCCAATCGTTCCATGACCCTAGCTCTGTTGAACACATTAGGGCCAGGGCGGAGAGGGGACAATCCGGGAAGGCCTCGGGGGAACCCATAAGATTCAACACTCAGGAGGTACTACCCCGAACCCCCCCTCCCGCTCCCCGCCCCTCCCCGTGTCCGCATCCCCCATCATCCCCGCCTGCCCAGCCTCCGCTGCTTCGGATCTTTTTTTCCTGTGGCTCGCGCGCCTCCTGCTGGCAGTGCTCAGCAACGCCCTGGAGCTGGGGCGACCTACCTCATCTCCACGCAAGCGTTAATGTAAGCGCCCAGGTAGCACACGCTCACCGCCTTCGACGCCAGAAATGCTTTTTCAAACCTGGGGATCGAAAAGGATCATTCCTCTGACCTCGGATCTCCGCCCTTTTAGGTCCTCACCAGTCATGAGGGTCTCACACTCAGACCGGTGGACCCCGCCCACTCCTGGCCGTGTCATCTCCCACCCTTCCAGGGCTGAGAATGCCACCCGCACCTGGGCACAAAGAGGCAGAGCGCACGTGCGCAGATCTGCAGGGTGGTGGCCTCCAGCTCCGAGGAGATAGCGCCGGCCGCCTTCACGTGCTCAGCCACGAGCTGTCAGGGATGCCACACGCTGAGTGCAGTAGAGTCTCGAACCCAGCCCACCTCTGTCTGCAGTTTTCAGTTGCCCCAATGTGAGGGTCACCCCCACCCCAATCCCAGAGTCCACCGGCAGACCTGAGAGCTGTAACCTAGACTGGCCATGTGCTTCAGGGGCCTAGATCACCCCCACAGGTTCCCCTCTCATATAACTTAGCTCTGAGGGATCTCCGCCACGTGACTGAGGCCAGAACCAAGCCCCTCCTCAGCCTTCTCCCGTGCGCACCATGTGCACATCGATGGACAGGGGCGTATGGTAGAGGCCCTGTAACACTTCCAGCTCCTCGCCGGCTTCCCAGCGACTCTGCTCCAGGTGCAAGATGCTATCAAAACAGCTTGTGATCTTTGTCTGTGGGATTAGGAGTGGGCTGCGATTAGAAGCCATCCACGAGGAAGGGAAGAGCTCCCCCTGCCTTCCAAGCCCCACTTTGCGCCTGGAAGGACTAGCGTCACTGGACCCCATCCACAGACCACGCCTACAGGTGCCTCCAGCACAACCCCAATTCTGGGAGTCAAGCCTCCGGTCCCAGTCTCTGGAGCCCGGAGCCTCCCCAGCCTCACCTCTAGGAAGTTAGTGTAGTCACTTTCCAGTCGGGCCCACAAAGCAGGCTCTAGGAGTGGGGGTAGCGGTTCGGTGGGCAGTGCCAAGTCTGGGGCGCCTAGGAAGTCAGGACTGAAAAGCAAGATGGGGTGGAAGAGTTGCTGAGGACCCAGGAGGAGCTCTGATACCCACCAGCTGCCTCCTCTCCCTAATCAGGCTCAAAGTCCAAAGTCATCATTAGGTCTCTGAACTCCATTTCTGTTGACACATTCCAGTCCTCTACCCTCTAGATCTATGCCATCATTTCCCTTCCCGAAAGCCTCTGCCGGCTGCCTTGGACTTCTTGGCACTCAAGCATCCAGCTGGGCCTGCTCAGAAGGCTTAAGGAGCTGTTCCGATGGACCTCTCTCTGCCAGACTGCCTCAATGTGACCTCTACCCTCGTGGTTAGCCTACATTAAAGACTGAGCTCTAAGCAACCCCCCCCCCCCACACACACATCACCATGTAACCCAAATCAGGGTGCCCGAGAATGACGGCCTGACCACAGCAATGTAAAGAGGCCAGGATTTGGACAGCCTTCTCCCTCGCTTATTCTTCTCCCTTTGGCCTGTGGCAAAGTTGGGGCCCATTCATCTGGGAAATTAAAGTACCCTTGTTACACAACACCCTTCTTGTTACACAGTACTAGGGATGGATGGATGCTCACCCAGAGGGAAAGGAGGCTGAACCCACACTCCCAGTGGTGTCCTGCCTGGAAAGCCGCTCTTTTCTAATGCATTTGCAGTCGCTTTAGGGACTAGCAGGGCTCAGGGGCTCCTGGCTCTGGTGTGAGGTGCACATGAAAGACTCTCTAGCTTTGGGAACCTGTAGCTGCGTGGTCCTTTAGGAGAACCTGGGATGGGAGCACACAGCCTAGCACAAGAGAAAGAGTGACAAAATCCCCAGTCTTCCTGGCACCCCATCGCTTTGCCTGCGAAGGAATGGGGAAGAAAGGTGCCCTGTGTGTTCGCAGCTGTTTCCCAAGCTCTCCTGGTGGGTAATGGTCCCCGCTTCTGCCGTAAAAACTGTTATTTCAGGACTCACCTGCCGTACACATTGGCGGCCCAGTCTAACAGCACATAGAGCTGCTCACAGCCGTGGGCGTCTCGCGCCAGCTCCTGCAAACGCTGGGCCACCGCGCTGTGAAAGGCACGCAAGTAGGTCTCCCACACCGGGAAATCGGTGGCTTCGTAAGCGGGCTGTATCTCTAATCGCACCTTCTGCAGGTCACGGCGAACCACGCTACCGAGTTCAGCCAGAAGCTGGGCTAGGTCGGAAGAGTCCTCCGCAGCCCCTGGGGTGACTTTGACGCCAGCCCGCTGCACGCGCTCCTGGGCGCTGCGCTGCACCGCGTCCTTCCAGTGCCGGCGCCAGTGGCGGGGCGTACTCAAGAAGTCACCGTCGGCTTGGGGGGCCTGATGGGCCTCCTCTTCTAAGTTCACCACCTGGGCCAGTTCGGCTAGAGCCTCTCCATCCACGCCTTCGGAACCCAGCGCCTCGCGCACAATGGCTCCGATCTCCGCGGCTATTCCATCGTAATGTAGGCAAACGTCCATAGCACGCCGAGCATAGGCGGTGGGGTCCTGCGCAAAGGTGCGTGAGGTTTTGTCTGCTACCAGCCGCGTCTCCAGGTACCGCAACTGTTCGAAGGCCTTCACTAATTGCCTCTCAGTGATGAGGTCTGTCACGGATTTGCTCTCTGCAAGCGCAGGTGAGAAAGGGGTCAATGGAGGGACCAGCACAGGGTCTTAGACATCTAGGCTGCTCCCAGAGTCTTGGGCTGGGCTGCCTGGCCATTACCCAGATGTTCTGTGAGCCATTGAACTGCTCCACCTGCCAGAAGACCTTGCTTAATTAGAATCACGTTTGAGGTAGCAGAGCCAGGATCCCAAACCTGGCTGAAAACAACAATTTGGGTCATCTTCTGACTCCACGGCAATATGGGGCCGGGTACCTTTTATCTTGCACACACCCCCACTCCCATCTCTGCTGAACTGGTCCTGGTGTTCTCATGTGTGGCTGTAATTGCAGGTCTAATAGGTTCAGAGCTCAACTGGGTGTGTCCTAATGTCCAGAGTCAGCCTTTCTCTGCTGACTCTGCTGGGCTGCTCTTTGCCTGCCCCTTGTTGGAGGAGTTTCTCTACTTCTGATGGATCCCTTGTTGAGAGTTCAAGTTCACTGTGTGCTCACCTGAGCAGTCCCTCTAGCTGCCTCTCCAGGTGACGGTGGCCCTATGATCCTCTGGGACCCTGTGATCTGAGAGAATCAGTGCCTAATAATTAGTATGAGTTTGCTCAAGGGGCCAAGTGGTGAAAAGCCATGCAGATCTGGGTTCAAATCCCACCTCTCTTATAGTTAGCAGTAAGACACCAGCAAGTCACTTAGTTGAGCCTGACTTTTCTGTTTGCCCAGTGGGTATATTAGATTTCCCTTGCTAGATCCTGGAAGAATTGGTGCAGAAGGCAGGATTTGGGTATGTGGGGATACCTTGGCTCAGCTCCCGCCCTCTCTGCCCTCAGTTTCCTCTCACACTGTTGTATGAGACCCTACCTTCCTGGAGTTCCAGATCCTCAGGTCCCATCCCCGTGGATGCCTGCCGACTGATACCATCAGTGACACTGGAAGGCTTCTCTGTCACTGCAGGGACTTGAGGGTGCCCAGCAGCTAGGCCTTCATCCAGGGCCCGTCTCAAGGACCGGAACAGGCGGGAACTTCGCCTGATTAGGCCCTGGTCCTCCTTAGGTTTGTGGGTGGAAGCTGGCAGGCTGGTCCGGAAGAAGGTCCGCTTCAGGGTGCTCAGGCTGGGTTTCAGAGTGTCCCCGTGGTGAATACTTGGCTCTTTCATACTGTTGGACTTCCGGGTGCCCTGAGCTAGGGTTTGTGACTTCCCAGGCTCCTTGGGGCTTTGGAGCTCTGGCCCAGCGGTCACTGTCCATGGCAATGGCATCTTGGCAGCAGGAAAGCTGGGGGCGGGGTGTGAGAAAGCAGTTCGAGAGGGCTGGAGGCTGCCCAGCCCAGGAAGAAGACACAGAAGCCCGGGAAGCTCTCTGGGGCTCAGTAGAACCCAGGAGTGCAGGAAGGCTTGATTTCTTCTATGGAAAAGGAAATGTCTGCCAGCTACTGGGCTGGCCAGAGCCTTCTGCATGCCTGAGTGCAGCTGGAGCTAAGATGCAGACAGCTACTCCCTCCCTGGTGCCATCCCCAAAGGCTCTCTCCCAGGTGGCCACCTTACTGAGCCCGAGCGGTTCTCACTGAATTAGGAACGTTCATCACTCATTCTGGGAAACCCACAACCCACAACCACAAGGGAAGGGTCCAGTACCCACATCCCAGACGTCTAGGATTTTAGATTCTAAGGCCAAAACCTCTCCCCATCCCTTCCTCCCCCAGCCCCACTTTAGCCCCTCCGGAGATGTGGGCTCACCTCTGACAGCACAAGACGCAGGATCACTTCTGCTCAAACAGGAACCTCCTTAAGAAGCATTCCCTTCCGAGACTCCGTGGAGCTGGAGGAGGGTACAATGGTGCCCTAGGGCCCTAGCCGCAGGCACCCAACCACTTATCTTCACCACACAGCCTGAAGGGAAGGTCGTGGGAGGGGCCTCAGGTCTATATTTAACCTGGAGCTGAGGAATCCCAATACATTTCCTACCTGCTGCTCTTCCCCCTCTTGCAACCCCCCAACCTTCACCCCATGGAGTGAGTAGTGGGCTCAAGAGCATGAGAGACACATTGCTCGGGCTGCTGGCAGGCACCGCCACCATATTCTCTTCCAGCTAGCAAAGCCTAACTGTTTGCTTTCTGAGTGTGTGTTTAGCTAGGGGTGGGAGAGAAGAGACAGCCTTCCTGGCCACTGGAACCTTCTGCCCACCACATTGTGCAAGCTAGACATGGGTGGGGGATGGTACTGGGCCAGTAAGCTCCCCAAATGCCTTTGGAGAAACTGAACCAAAAGAGGGCTGGACTGGGCTGAAAAGATGGCCCATGGTTGAGAGTATTCGTTCCTCTTACAGAGGACCCAGGTTCAATTTTCAGCACCCATACAGTGGCTCACAACCATCTGTAGCTCCAGTTCCAGGGCAACCAGTGTGCTCTTCTGACCTCCAAGGGCACCAGGCATGCACATGGTATGCAGACATACGTGCAAGCAAAACACACACACGTAATATAAAGCAAATAAATCTTTAAGAAAGGAAGGAAGGAAGGAAGGAAGGAAGGAAGGAAGGAAGGAAGGAAGGAAGAAGAAAGGCTAGCCCGAGCAGAAGAAAGAAAGAAAGAAGAAAGGCTAGCTCGAGCAGAAGCATAGCTCCCAGCCCTCTTCAGGACTCCCCATCATACCAGGACAAATCCAGGTAGGAGCTAGAGCAGATCCCTGGGTGAGTCAGGAAGGAACTGCGCTTTCCTGGGACTTAAGGCATGCTGGACAGGGGCCAGCCCCTACGCTCTAGCCCTCCAGCAAGGTATCTGACAGAGTCAGCTGAGGCCTACATTTCTGGAGCTCCAGAGGCCACCAGTAGCTTTCAAGGAAGGAGAGAGGCTCAAGTGATTGGCTGTGGCCTTATCAGCCCCACCCTGGTCACAGGTCATTATCCTGCCCTGGCACCCAGTTCAGGGACCCAGCTCCACACAGATGTGACCCATACACAGCAAACTCTGGCTTCTTTCTCAATGGAGCCCTTCAGCACCTAGTGTGGGAGACGGTCTGTTGTGTTCTCTCAGGGGTACTGAGAAAGGACAAGGTGGGTCCTGCCTTGATTGGGGAGAGCTCCCCTTTGTTTACTAAACCCTGCCCATGTGTGCTTTCACTTCAGTGCTGACAAAGGTCTGATCCTCATGACAACAAAGTTGGGGAGTTTTATCTGCCCCATTTGATTTATCTGCCCGGGTGCTTAGAGAGGGAAGGGGCCAGCCTCAAGCCATTCAGCCTGGCCCAACCAGGTCTCTCCAGAAGCTAGGGACAAAGGGTGATTAGTGTGTGTTCATGAGCACTAGAGGACTGGGTGCTACCGAAAGAGCTCTTTTCCCTGTGAGGACCCCAAGACAGGAGTCGGACTTGGCAGTCCTTGCAGGGGAGTCTGGGGACAGATTCTGGATAAGGAAGGACAGCTGGAACACGTGAATTTCATGGCAGGTTATAAGGAGTCTTTGGACTCACTCAGACTGCTCAATCACCCTCATATAAAACCAGGTTTGCACTATAGGGCCCTCAAGGACGCCAATCAGCCTCTCTGGCTCTGGCTGTGGCCAGCTTCTCTGGCTCTGGCTGCGGGCAGCCTCTCTGGCTGCGGGCTGGCTCTGGCTGCAGTCAGCCTCTCTGGCTGCGGCCATGCCACTTTTGGCTCTGCAGCACTCAGCAGCTACCCAAACCATTCTTGACCTCCCCCAAACCAAATGGGTCACTCCCCTGTTTTAAAACCTTCTCTGACTCCCTGGTACCCTCAAGCCATCCTGAGCCCCATAGCTGGGCATTCGAATTCCCCCCACCTTCTGGACTGATCTTTCTTTGCCTCACTCCTGGCTTCACGTTAGCTCATGGGACCCCCTCCATCCTGCTGAATGTGCAGTTGTCAACACCCCCCCCCAAGCTGTGTCCCCTCCTGATCCCCTCTCTCTTTTGGTCTCCAAATCGGACCCAGCTTTCAGGACCCAGTGAGTCCCCTGCCTCCAAGTAATCCTCAGCTTTGTGCCATCTGCTCAGTGGCCCTTCAGGACTGTCCCTACTGTGATGTAGTTTCTTCCAGGCGTGAGAGTCTGTCTGTCTGTCTCCCTTCTCTTTCATCCCAGAGCACAGTTCAAAAGTATGGACTATGCAGTGTGAGTGGGTGCCCCACGTGAGGCTGGCCTGGCTAGGTGCCATTCTGGTGCCCACTGGGCTGATCTGTGGACTTCACCACCATGCCTTCCCTCTGTTGGCCACAAGGCCCATCCCTGGCCCTCTATCTCCTCTCTCCACTGCAGCCACTCCCTGACTGAAGCTTGGTACTCAGCTCCAGGATCCTGCAGATCCAGGCCAGTCCGGGCCCTGGGCTCATCTCTTTCCAGGTCAAGCAACAGTCCCAGCTGCAGGGCCAGGGGCAGGGGCCAGGAAAATCACCATGGGCAACTCCAGCTGTGACCATGAGGCTAGGTCTAGACTCCCCAGTTTCCCAGACTTGCTTCTACCCTTTGCTACCCTAGTAGGGCTGTACCAGCCCCTACTGTTTCAGTTTTTCTCCAGAACAAACCACATCCTTCCTCCCCACTTGCTAGGACTGGGTCATCCCCTAGCCATCAAAGCCCCAAGAATAACGACGGCAGAGAGGTTGTGACACTCTTGCCTTGAAATGTTCCCTGCAAGCTAGGGGGCCTTTCCTGAAAGCATGGAACAGAATGAGAATAGACGGTTTCGGTCATCCTGGGTGTCACCTGCAGGATCCAGTTAAGCCAACAAGACAAGTCTGCAGATGTCCGAGAGGAACACATCAGGTTGCTGTTTTAGTTGTTTATATTTGTCTGACTAGAAATCCCAAGGTTGGCTGTTATGGGCTAACAAAAGAGTTTAGTAAATTTCATATGTTGATTTTGCAAACACAACCAGTAGCTATCTTATATGCCAGCCAAACTTTTTAAAAAAAATATGCAGGCTCCCCTCATAGCTGCCAAAATATAAACACCCCTAGGTTGCCGTTGCCCACAGAAGTGCAGACTTCTTACCTTGGCACACAAGGCCCTTCCCCAGGTTTGTCACGGGTTACCCATCACGCTGTCACTCTCTTGCCCTTCTGTCCACTCAGAGTCACCCCTCCTCCATGCTTCTGTGTGAGTTGCCCTTGCTTCTAGCAGTGACCTGAGCTCTCCCAGCTGCCAACCCCTCAGGTCTCCCCTCTCTGAGAAGCCTCCCCTCACCAGCTGTCCCAGCACACAGCATATTCTTTTCTGGGTCTAACTCCGGCCCTAGATAGTTATGTGGTCTGAGATGTCTCGGCCACTTGACCACGGGTCCCAGGGAGTGTGGAATGAGCCTGGCTCAGATCCATGAAGGGCGTTAAATGTCAGCTGGGCCAAGGAGACGAAGAGGCTCTGACGTGATTGTGAACCTGTGGTACATCCACACGTAGGTGAGCTTCCGTTTTGCACATCTTCATGCTTCCCTGAGTATGCGTATGTGCGTGTATGATTATTCTGTAATATTTGTGTGTGTGTCCTGTGTCTGTGTGCATATCTGCATGCCTCATGCGTGGCTCTGCTTTCTGTAACGGCGCATGGCTGTCTACACACTCGGATATGTGCATACCTTCTGTGACTGAGCTAACACTGTGGCTCAGTTGGCCCGGGCTTGGAACCCAGACCCTTAGCCAGAAAGGCCCCTGACAGAGCCAGAGCAGTCTCCACCCACTGCCTAAACGCCCTCAACCCTCTTGCCCCACCTGACTGGGTCATACCTGGTCTGTGAGCCGATAACTAACTGCCCAGGCAGAAGAGGTCCTGGGGAAGGCAGCCACGCAGGATCCTGAGACCAGGTCTCGGCGGGAGGTCTTCAGAACAGCCCATTTGATTACCAACAGCTGGGACTTCCCAGCCACAGGACCGCCCACGCCCACTTTCTACTCAGACCCCACGCTTTCGCTTTCAGAAAAGTCCCGCCCCTTCCATTCCAGAGGCCTACACTCCAACCTTTGCTCTGGAGCCAGCCTGAGCCGGACCCTGAGCTCCTGGAGGGTTAGGGACGCTAAGGAGGTGGAGATTAGTGAAGGAGAGGTCAGGGAGGTGAAAGTTGAGGAGGGTGGCCCTCTGTTGCAGCAGTGGGGGCAGGAGCTGTTGGGGACCACTGAGGACTGCCAGACCCTCCCACTGCCAGAGGCAACCTAGATGGGGGGCGGGGTTAGAGAACACGCAGCCCCCTAGTGCCCAGAAACATTCCTCTGTCCACTCCAGTCTAGGAAGTTCCCGTCAGTCCCACCTATGTTTGCCAGAGCTACGAGGCAGAGGGCGGATAGGAAGACCTGTCGGGAAAGTTCCCGGTCATGCCTGAAGGAGCAGGTACAAGCCATATACTGTTCCAGAGTGCTGGAAGGAGAGGGCCCTAGGGTCCCAGAGGGTCACAGTCGGGAATGAGAAGCACCTTCTAGACAGAGGCGGTATAAGCAGTCACAGCGTCTGGGGGAGGCAGGTTGTGACTTTTGAACTCAGGGGAAATCCAAGGACACATTCAGGCCTGTCCCATCCTGTGCTGGTTGTAGTATGGATGCTCCAGAGTTACAGTATTGGGTGTTGAGGACACAGCACCACACAGTCCGGGGCCTTCCTGGTTTTGTGTGTTTTTCTGTATGTATTTGTCTGTGTATTGCATGTGAGCCCACCTAGTAAGTCCAGGCTGCCTCAAACTCAGAGATCTGTCTGTCTCTGCCTCCTGAGTGCTAGGATTAAAGACTTTCTTTTTCTCTTTCTTTCTTTCTTTCTTTCTTTCTTCCTTTCTTTCTTTCTTTTTTTGTGAGACAGGATCTTATGTAGCTGGGATTCTGTAGCTTAAGATGACCTTGAATTTTTCCTCCTCCAGCATTCACTTCCCAGTTCTGGGGTTTCTTGCATGAGCCTCCTCAGTGCTGGGGTTACCTGTGTGAACCTCCTCAGATCTGGGATTGCCTGTGTGAGCCTCCTCAGTGCTGGGGTTACCTGTGTGAGCCTCCTCAGTGCTGGGGTTACCTGTGTGAGCCTCCTCAGTGCTGGGGTTACCTGTGTGAGCCTCCTCAGTGCTGGGGTTACCTGTGTGAGCCTCCTCAGTGCTGGGGTTACCTGTGTGAGCCTCCTCAGTGCTGGGGTTACCTGTGTGAGCCTCCTCAGTGCTGGGGTTACCTGTGTGAGCCTCCTCAGTGCTGGGGTTACCTGTGTGAGCCTCCTCAGTGCTGGGGTTACCTGTGTGAGCCTCCTCAGTGCTGGGGTTACCTGTGAACCTCCTCAGATCTGGGGTTGCCTGTGTGAGCCTCCTCAGTGCTGGGGCTACCTGTGTGAGCCTCCTCAGTGCTGGGGTTACCTGTGTGAGCCTCCTCAGTGCTGGGGTTACCTGTGAACCTCCTCAGATCTGGGGTTGCCTGTGTGAGCCTCCTCAGTGCTGGGGCTACCTGTGTGAGCCTCCTCAGTGCTGGGGTTACCTGTGTGAGCCTCCTCAGTGCTGGGGTTACCTGTGAACCTCCTCAGATCTGGGGTTGCCTGTGTGAGCCTCCTCAGTGCTGGGGTTACCTGTGTGAGCCTCCTCAGTGCTGGGGTTACCTGTGTGAGCCTCCTCAGTGCTGGGGTTACCTGTGAACCTCCTCAGATCTGGGGTTACCTGTGTGAGCCTCCTCAGTGCTGGGGCTACCTGTGTGAGCCTCCTCAGTGCTGGGGTTACCTGTGTGAGCCTCCTCAGTGCTGGGGTTACCTGTGAACCTCCTCAGATCTGGGGTTGCCTGTGTGAGCCTCCTCAGTGCTGGGGTTACCTGTGTGAGCCTCCTCAGTGCTGGGGTTACCTGTTTGAGCCTCCTCAGATTTGGGGATCCAATCCAGGGCTGAAAGAATACTAGGTAAGCTTCTCTCTACCTGAGGTAGAGGGATGGGGAAAATTGTGGGACATGAGAAATAAAAGGAGCTCCTGACCCAGGAATCTGGTGGAAGCGTCTCACCAACAGAGAGGCCGAGATCCTGGCATGAACAACACCTGTTTAAGGCCTTTCTCCCCTCCTAGCTATCAACCTTTGATTTCCTAAGGATCTCACCAGAAACTTCACTTACAGAGAAAGGACATATACTAAACTCCTCGAGAAACCCCCTCAAATTATAGTTCCATGTAAGAATCTCTATCATCACCACTCACCTGTCAGAAGAGAGAGGAGGGAGGGGAGAGCATTCTTAGTGATGTCTAAGATGTAATGTGAGAGTCGCCAAAATGGTATATATGGCTAATAGCTCAGGCAGCTCACTGTGGAGTCCCTGGAGGAGGCTACACCCTCACGCAGGCATGTCTTATTTCTGCTCTCCCTTCATGTCCTCACTTACGTAAGACCTGCTCTCTCCGGATCCTCATGTGTAATCCTGTATTACAGTACCTTTAGTAAAAATGGCCAGCTTTTCTTCAGACTGGCTAGTCCTGAAATTCTCTTCCTCGTTAAAGTCACAAATCTGTTTGGCATACTGAACTGATTTTAACTATCTTTTCAAAGACTGTCTTCAATAAGGTCACACTCTCAGGTTCTGGAGCTAAGAGGTCAACATATGAGTAATAGATCCAAAGATACCAGGCATGCTACAGCACCCCATGCTGTCTGGAGTTGGACCAAGCCTGACAGGAGCCATTGGCACCTCCGCCAGAATGCCTTTGGGTTAATCGCTCCTTCAGTAATGAGAAGCCCTAGGCTCCTAGGCGGATGGTGTTATAGAGTGTTAGTTTAGGATGTGTTACATTTGTTTATGCTGTGGAATGTAGGGGGACTTTTCTGTCCTTCCTGTCAGTTCCCAAATAACCACACGAAGACTTCTTATTAATTATGAAAGTGTGGCTTATTGCTTAGGCTTGTTTCTAACTAGCTCCTATAACTTAATAACCCTGTTTCCATTCATTTACTTTCTGCCTCGTGGCTTTATTACTTTACTCTGCCCGTGTTGTTTTCCTGCTTCCTCCGTGTCTGGCTGGCAACTCCTCACGACTCTGCCCTTCTTCCCAGTGTTCTCTCTGCCCTGAAAATCCTGCCTAGCTATTGGCTGTTTAGTTTTTTACTAAACCAATCACAGTGAAATATCGTCACACAGTAAAAAGGAATATTCACAACAGTAGGATATTCGTTTAATGATATAAAGATGTGTTACATCCGTTTATGCTGCATTTGTTTAACCCCTGTGAAACTGTGTTACTTTGCCTGCCTAAAACACCTAATTGGCCTAATAAAGAACTGAACATCCAATAGCAAGGCAGGAGAGAAATAGATGGGCTGGCAGGCAGAAAGAATAGATAGAAGAAGACCATGAAAAAAGGAGGAGAGGAGGATGCCAGGGGCCAGCCACCCACCCAGCCATGCAGTAAGAAATAAAGCATATATAATAGACCAAGATAAAAGCCTTGAGGTAAAAGGTAAACAGGATAATTTAAGTTAAGAAAAGTCGGCTAGAAACAAGCCAAGCTAAGGCTGGGCATTTATAAGAAAGAATAAGTATCTATGAATTTATTTGGGAGCAGGGTGGTGGGCCCCCAAAGAGCCAAAAGTGTTAAAAGTAAAACAAATGAAACAACTACAGAATGGAGCAGTGGAAACCCCAGCCCAAGGCCAAGAGTTGCCCAGCCAGCCCCTGTACCTTTCCTCCCAGCTTAGCTTGGTCTGCCTATTGGCTCCCTGTAAGGGGGCTGCCCTAGGCTCAGGGACCCACTGACCACCAGAGAGACCAGGACTGTGTCCAAGTCACATGAGAGTCCTGGGACCTCCAAGTTCAAATTACCTGAAGATGTCTGAGCAGCCAGATTATGGCTTTTTTCTGCCTTGTCTCTTTGTACAACCTCAAAATCTAATACCCAAGACCAGGAAGACTGCTCCTGGGCCTCCCCCAAAGTCTCACTGAACCCCCCAGACTTCCCATACCCACTTTTAGTATGAAGCAGTGATTTTTTGTTGTTGTTGATTGGTTAGTATTTTTGTTTTTTAAACATTCTTTTCAACAAAGTAGAATTTTAAATGTTTTGTTTCTTTGTGTATTTGTTGGTTTTTTTTTTTTTTTTTTTTTTTTTTTTTTTTTTTTTTTTTTNTTTTTTTTTTGAGACAGGGTTTCTCTGTATCTTTGGAGCCTGCCCTGGAACTAGCTCTTGTAGATCAGGCTGGCCTCAAACTCACAGAGATCCTCCTGCCTCTGCCTCCTGAGTGCTGGAATTAAAGGTGTGTTCCACCACCACCCAATTCTAAATGTTTATTTTTAAAAAAATTTATTAGATGTATTTATTTTATGTGAGTGTTTTGACTGCAGAGGTCAGAAGAGGGAACAGATCCTGTGGAACTGGAGCTAAGGATGGTTGTGAACCATCATGTGGGTGCTGGGAATCGAACCCAGGACCTCTGTAAGAGCAGCGTGTGCTCTTAACTGGCTGAGCTGCCTCTCCAGCCCCAACCTGTTTGCTTTTTATGTATATGGGTGGTCTGCCTACATGTATGTCTGCGCATTACTGATGCCATATCCTCTGGAACAGGTGTTAAGACTGAGAGCCACCATGGGGTGCTGGGGACCAGGCTGAGTCCTCCGGTGGAGCAGAGCCACGTCTTGAGTTCCAAGTCGGTTGGGTTTTTTGAAGCAAGGTTTCAGATAACCCAGTTTGTTGGGTACTTGAGGATGACCTTGAATTCCTACCCCTGTTTTCACCTCTCCAGTGCTGAGATTACAGGATGTCCCATCACCAAGACTCGTGTGATGTTTCCTTTACTTTTCCACGCTGCTTTCCCCTGGAAAAGTTAGTAAAATCCCAGTGGAAAAGTCCCAGCCTAGTCTCAGAGAAGCTCTGGGCAGTCAAACTGAGGTCAGAAGAAGGTCATGGAGGGGGCAGTCGGGAGGAGAGAGAGAGGCACAGCTAGGACACTAACTGAAATTCAAGCCAGTTCCCGACGGCCTTGGGAGAGACATCTCTGTACTTGAGCCTTAATTTACTCTTTGGTAAAATGGGATTATTGCTGGGATGAAGTGAATTCTAGGTAGGTAAGAACAGGAAGTCCCCCCACCCCCACCCCCCCAGATGTTTGCTTGTCTCTGGGTCAGTTTTGCCCAGAATGCAAAGGGGCCCAGACTGGAGACAAAGATTGGGGAGGCGGAGTTCACCTTCTGCCCCTGATCTGGCGAGGGCGGGGGTGGAGGGTGGATTGTACCACACTCTGAGGCCAATTAGAGACCACTGTGCTGCGGCTCCGGCGATCTCAATGCACCCGAAGGTGGCGACCGCTGTTTCCATAGTGACCCCCGGCGGGCGCTAGGGGGAGCTCCAGGACGATTTCACGCCTCCAGCGAGCTGAGGAGGGGGCTGGACTGGGCTTCTGAGTGGGTGTGGCGTCCGCTCTGGCCCCACCCAGGCTCTTTCCCACAGCTTGGAGAGGGTTGGACAGAGAACCGACCCTCCACGCCACCTCTAGCTCTGGAACCTCCAGAATGGGTCATCAGTACTCGGGCAGTACCCTTGTAGATCGCGGAGACAGCTTGGGCTGGGATCTCAGGAGACCCTCTCTAAGGGCGCTGGACTTGTCTTCTGTGGGACCCTGTTTAATTGGGCATACTCCTCCCCTGGAGAGAGGTGGCGTCATCACATTGCTCCATTCTGCTCTGCTTCCCGAAGTGGGCGGAAGTTTGCTTCCTCCCGAAGGTCAGCAACCCCTGACTGCCCCCACACTCCCTCCCTATTTCCTATCTCGTTGCCCTTGCTCAAAACTGGCTCTGGGACCCACAGGAAAGGCTGGGGACAGAAAGGTTCTAGAACAGCAACACTTCTAAACTGTGAGGCTGGGTAGGGCCCAAGGAGACACACTGGGCACCGGACCCAGAGCGCCCACGGTTTTAAATTTAAAGCAGACTCCCAGGCAGACTTCCACACCTCCCCTCCCACCTCTGGCGTTTGGGGGCCAGGCTATATTTAGAAGGAAGGCGGGCTGGAGGTTAGCAAGGAGGCCAGGAGAGAACAGAAGGCCTATGTCTCCCGCAGCCCTTTCAGTTCACTCAGGGTGAGGCCTAAGCCTGGGGGCTTTGTTAAGCTAACATTTATGGAAACTTCCTAGTGGCTTGGCAACACACTCAATGAGGGGGCCGTAGGCCTGGTCAGCTTTCTGCTCCCCAAGCCAGCCCTGACTAGGTACCATAGATCCCCTCCTGCAGTGAGATAGCCAAGGTAGTCTGTCCATGCGAGGATGGCCAAAACCATCCTTCAAGGCAGGACAAGGTGCTTGCCCACCAAAGGTCCCACATGGGTACTATGCATGGCCAGCTTGGTGAATTACCAGCCTGAGGGTCCCTTGCCAAAACTAGTCCATGACACCTCATTTTGCTCCTAAATTTCCTCACCTGTGAAATAGGACTTTTGCTGGAATTCATGAGGTCCAGACTGGAAGATCTCTCACTCTAGAGACCATCCTTGTGCCCCAATGCACCAGGACGGAGGGCACAAGAGGGTGTCTAGCCCCAGGAAATCTCCAGCAGGTTAGGAGGCCACCAGGAAGAGCGGCCATAGCTGAGGAAGAAGAGAGAGAGGCAGTAGAAGAGCCTACTCTGCAGTCCTGAAGTGACCACCCCGGAGCCTCTGGCTCTCTCCGCTCAGCTTGCCATTCCCCCTCCCAGACCAAGAGCCAAGCACTTACCCATCCAACACTCCGACTTGCTCAGCCAAGGCTCTTAGAGAGGTTAGAATGCCACTGGTCAAACCGAAATTGTCCTCAGCACCTCAAGTACCCACCAAGGGCACCCATGGCCACCAGGAAGGGTGCCTTTATTTCTGTTTCAAGCCACTGAACAAAGAGGGGTATGCTCCAGATCTGGGCAGTGGAACACAAAGGCAGAGGGGCTGAGGTCCTGGCCACACCTAGCCAGACAGGAAGCTTGGTGCGCTGGGTGTCCTGGTGGGCCGAGCCTTTCTGTGAATCAGTCAGTCGTCCTGGGATCGAGGGCCTCTCGGTGGTCAGCAAGCAGAGCCTGCCACGCCCGTATCTGTTACTGGACCAGGGACTTCCTGGTGCCCAGAACTGGCACCCTCGATGCCATCATGATCTGCTGTCCTCCCTGGGGCTCCTGGTGGACTCGAAGAAGGAACTGCATTATATATGTGTGTGTGTGTGTGTGTGTGTGTGTGTGTATACATATATATACACACATATATTGTATATATATACAATATACACACACACAGGCCTCTATATTGGTGATGAGCTGCAGCTGGATTGGTCCTAGTGATATAAGGTAAGCCTCTGGCAGACATCTGGGTGGGGCAGCCCCTTCTTCCCAAGGGCTGATGGGAAGGAAGGGGTGATGATACACTTGTTTTAGAGAGATAGAAAAGGATGAAGCCCAGCTCTGGGAGCAGAAGCGACCCTACCCCCACCCTGCCCTGAAGTACAGGGCAGGGTATGGCCAAGAGAAGGGTGGTAGATCCAGGGCCTCTCCAGAGCCCAAGCCCCAGTGGTCACCTAAGGACCAGTCCCTGCTGCCTCTATCTGATGCTGGTCTGACAGAGGGTGAGGGAGCTTTGTGTAAAAGTGCGGGCTGCAGGCATGGACCCCTTCAGGGCCCAATCTACATAGGTGCTACTGTGATGGCTACTTCCAGGGACTAAGGCCTGGGGAGAGGAGGAGCGTTTGTGGGGTCTGAGCACCCTTCATGGGAGCTGAGCTCGCTCCCTTACAGGATCCTCCAGAGGCTTCCAGACATAAAGATTACCAGGGTACGTCTTAGCCACATGCCCGCAGCTTTCAGTGGCCTAAGAGCCACTCCAGAGGCCTCCACTGCCAGCTTGCCTGCCCTGAGGACTGACCCCATCTTGTTCTGCCCTCCTCTAGAAGCTCTAGGCTTTCACCAGGGCCCCTGCTGCCAAGACACGAGGAACAAATCCATGTTCCCAAATGTGCCCCTTTACCCTGGCCCCTCGGGGTCCCTGCGGGCTATGTGCGCTGTTCCAAAGGTCTTGAATCAAGAGGGAAGGAAGAACAGAAAGCCGGATGATAGGAGAGGGTGCGCCTCTCAGGTGATGGAGCCACGGGCGTGCACAGGGGACAGACATAGACAGGAGGAAGCACGGTAACAGGAGGAGCAGGTGAAGACACAGCAGTGCTCCAGCGCTGGGCAGACGATGTTGGGGTGTGAGCTAGGACAGGGGTCCCACACCTGTGGGTCACAGACAGCAAGTGGGTGTGGTTTCTGAGACAAGTCAAATGTCCTCTTACTCACCAGCAGCAGCCTGGATCTGAGGGGTACCTTTCTGGGTGCCCTCAGGTGGCCAACGGAGCTCCCCACTTTCCACAGCACCCACTTCAGTGGGTTCCACCACAATAGAGGGCAGTCGCTGGCAGAGCCGAGGGCCCTTCTCCCGGACACCTACTGCAGCCTATATGGAGAGTGGGGAAGGCTCAGGGCAATACTGGGCCATGGACTCCTGGCCCCCTGCCTCTTCTGCCCTGCACCCTGCCATAAGAGGAAGGCCAAGAACAGGCAGGATGAATAGCCCCTACCTCTTCCCACCCCTAGGGAATAGGCACCCAGCGAACACCACGGCACTCACCTGGGCTCAGACCCAGAGAAGCCCATTTCACAGACAGACCCTAAGACCATAGAAACCAAGTCACTCAGGAGGGAGCTCGGGACTGAGCACCCCAGCTGCTTCCAGTACCTGGAACCCAGCACAACTCTTTTCTGGGGGCTTCCCTGCTGGGTCCTTGGCCTCCTCCCTCCACATGGCAGGCTGAGGAGCTCGGAAGATGGTTACCATGGCAATCAGAGCTGGCTCTCGTTCATTGTTCAATGCCCACACGCCCCCTGGGTGCCCCCAGCACCTCCACACCCTATTCAAGGCTTTTCAAGGTCGAGGCTGTCTCACACAGCTCCATTCCTTGGTGCCCCAAGGTCCTTACTCGCCCACCCGCGTCGTCCCACCTTTGTGTCTTCCTGGAGTTCTGGCAAAGACGGCCACCTGGTGTATGTGCTCCTTCCCACAGAGGCATACTGGCCTCCAGGAAGGCAGCACAGAGCAGGCAGGCTGTTACACTGCCCCCAGATGGCTGCTTAGAGTCACTGGACACTGGTTTCCCCCTACACTTCCATGCTCTCTCTACCCAGGGCCCTTTTAGCCAAGTACAGCAGGTGACCCTGGGGTCTGAGAACAGGTGTCACCAGTCTGGGTCATCTGAGGAATGGAAGAACAAAAGGCTTCAGAAGAGAGCAGAGCAGGGACCCTTTCCTGATCCCACTGCTGAACGCTCCTGGGACTGCCCCTAAGCCGCCATAGCCAAGTCAGGCCTCCTTCCCCATCTTGGATGCCTCCTCACGTGCCGTTTTACTTCCTGCCCCTTAGTCAAGGGTTCTGCCTGGAGGGTAGCCACTATGGGGAGGTGGCCATGCCATTTGGACCTTCAGGGTAGCTGAGCCCAAAGTCTAGGCTGCTCCTCCCTCACCAGCTCTACTAACCTAAGTCAGCTCTGGCACAGAAGATCCAGTTGCTTCTTTGTGCAGGGATTAGATTCCCATTTTATTTTACTTCTGAAACAGGCTACCACAGCCCAGACCAGCCTGAAACCCACTATGTAGCCAAGGCTGGTCTCGATCTTTCTGACTTACTCTCTGGACCACTAGGATTACAGGGGTGCATCAGTGCACCCCAGTACAGATTTAAACATTTTGCTGCATCAACATCCCTGACAAAAACTAGATCTGAGGGCACCCTAAAATGCTGTCTACCATACTGTGTGGTGGTAGCGCACGCCTTTAATTCTAACTCTTGATCTGCAGAGACAGGAGGATCTCTGCGAGTTCAAGGTCAGCCTGATCTACAGAATGAGTTCCAGAACAGCCTGGGCTATTACACAGAGAAACCCTGTCTCAAAACAAAACAAGCAAACAAACAAACAGCTGCATCACCCTGCAGAGGGCAGTGTGGTCATGTGCTTGGGGAATAGGCCTTGGTATCCCCAGGTCCAGAAGGGGTGCTAAGTAAGCCAGGGTAGCTTGCTTTCAATGACTTTACCCCCCAATTTTCTATAAAGATAGCAGTGAACTCCCCACATGGAAGGGTAGACTGAGGCTGGCAGAGATGGGAGACATACCTGACGTCATAGGCTAGAGAGTGAAGCTGCTCCCTCTGGTCCCCACTTACCGTCCCTGCTGGGCCTCCTCCGGTGCCCTCCATAGGATTCTCTGGTGCAGCTGGCTGTGGGATGCTCATGATGCTGCCGGCACTGGGTGACACAAAGAGCAGAAACGAGGTGTCCACCGCCGTCAGTGCGAGCTGTCCTCCTCCGGGAACCTACCCCCCCTCAACCTTGCCTGGCCCAACACTCAAGGCATAGGCCTGATCTTTGGCCTGCTGCTCCCACTGCTCCCTCAGGAAGAGCACCAGCCAATTACCACCCCGTGCCCAGGCTGTGGAGAAGTACGGCAAGAGGGGGAGAGACTGACCGAGCCTTGAGAGCCAGGAAGGCTTCCTGGAGGCAGATCAGCTGGCCTGAGGCCTCCCTAAGGGAAGAACAGCAGGCAGGCAGGGCAGCAGATGGAGAGATTTATGTTGTGAGAAGCAGAGAACACAGCAGACGGGGAGACCCAGAAGGGTCAGAGTCAGAAGGCTGGGAACACCCGCGACTGAGTCTGAGCCAGTCGGAGGCCAAGGGGCCCAGTCCTCTCCAAGAACATCCCTTCACCCACAGACCCCTGGGCCATACCTTGAGGGTCTACCACCAGAAGGAAGTGGACATCTTGCCTGAACATGGCCATGCCTACCTAGGCCAGGCACAGGTTGGGGGAGGCTGGGTCAGAGCCTCCACATGGAGGACTTTGGAGAGAGTCCCTGCCAGAAACCACACGTCCACCCTCAGACCCCCCCCCTCCGTGTCCCGTACACACACACACACACACACACACTCTGCAGCAGGTTCTTGGGGCCCAGCCTAGGCTAGAGGAAGAAATGGGGGTGGGGTCTAACAGGCATTGGTCAGATTGAGGACAGGCAGCACAGGGCCACAGGCAAGAGGCCTGGGAACTGGAAGGAGTCTGGGCCCAGCGCGTTGGAATGGTTGAGACACCCTGCCGGGAGGCAAGTACTTCAGGTGGGGGTGGGGGGCTCTAGCAAGGTCAGCTGCTGGTCTGGAAAATGAGGTTCCTTTTTCCCAAATGTCCATCTCAGTCAGCTCAAGTTCCATGGAGTTCTAGAGAAGTCTGGAAGGGGGCCATACGCCTATGACGGGCATCCCTGGGCAGTAAGCAGCCACGTAATAGCCACTAGTGCCTCTTGCCCAGCGCCCATGGGATGTCCCGTGGACTGCTGCTTCCAGCTCTGAGACCCCCCCCCCCTTAGGATCCTGCATACCTCCGAGTTCTGGGAACCTCGGCTAATCCCAGAACAGAGACCCAAGGATGTCTCAGATACATTCGAAAAAGAGGGAGGGAGAGTGGCCATAGAGGCTATGCAAAGAGGGGTAGAGCTGAAGAGTGAGAGGAGAAAGAGGCAGAAAGAAAGAAGATAGTTCCAGGGAAAACCTGGGGAGTCAACACAGCAGCAAGGGTGGATCTACAACGGGGCGGCGAGCGGAGGGCAAGTGCCCACAGGCTGCCTCGCTCTTGCCCAGTGCCTGGAGTCCGAAGCTACAGCTGCTAGTGCCGCCCACACTTCCATCCACTCTGGGGTGCAGGAGGGCCAGGTGTGGTGGACCGCTGGCAGTAGAGGGCCTCTTGGTCCAGAGTCCCGCGTTAGGTTGCCAAGGGGGACCGTGGGACCCACGCCCGTCCCTTCCCCGGGGCGCTCCCACTAACTCCTTACTGTACTCGCCCTCCTCCCCACGCACCTGCCCCTGACTGCCAAGGTGCACCTTGGACAGAACCCGGAGGGTGAGGGTGGGGAGGGGGCGTTGCGCCTTCCGCACACTCACCGACACTCGCCGCTGGCGCTTGCGGGGCCTCCACGTTGGCTAGGGAGCTCGCCTCCCTCGATCCTCCTCCGAGTTCTCCGCCCACACACGCGCTAGCAGCCCTCCCCTCATTCACACTCCCGCCCTCTGCTTTGCAGGGCTACCGGAAGGACCTAGCCTCCACCTCCCTAGACAACACCCTATCACCAGAACCGGGTCCTGGCCACTTCAGATCTCCTCCCCCAATCTCAAGATTCGAATGTGAGGTGTAGCGTCATGTGGCGCCAGATAGGTAAGGAGAGGATTTTCTCCAACCGTGCACCTGAAGAGGAAGTGAAGAGGATAGGAAGTGGGGCAGCTTGGGATTGTTCCCATTCCCTCTCTCATATCCATCCCAGTCCCATTTCCCCAGAAGGTTCCAAAGAGTCGGGACAATTGGTCTGGTGAGCCACTCTGCCCCCCAAGGCTGTAGTGCATCATCCCTACACAAGTAATCCACAAAACTCTTCTTCTAGGATCCACTGTGGACTCTCTAACGTCCCAGTTCTCTCAGAGATCTACAACCAACATCCACTTCTGCTTAGGCAAATCACCTCTTGCCTACCATCAACAGCCCAGCATCCTTTCTATGGGCAAGCCACCATTACCTCTCAACTGCCGCCTTTCTCCATCCATCGCCCAATCACCGCTTAGCAGCTAACACGCACTCACTGCTGCCTACCACACAGCTCTTCTGCTCCATCCCTCACACGCTCATCCTACCGCATTCACCATCCATCCCTCACTAGTCACCGGCTACCTAGTCATCCTCCATCCTCCTTCCATGTAATTGCTCATCTACTGTTATCGTCAGCCGATACTTACTATGAACACCCCGTCATCACCACACACCATCCAACGACTGTACACACGCAATTTACCAGCATACTACAAAATACCCATCTAACAGACATCCACTTACCATCCACTTAGCTCCCCAGAATTGTTCAGTGCCACAGGTTTCCAGTAGATAACTTCACGCTTCCATGCGCCACTTCCAAGCTTCAACCGTTCCTTACGTGCTTTCTATCCATGTATCCTGAGCTTTCTCTAGCTTCTATCCAATCAGTCAGTCATCAGCTATCATCCATATTTATATGAACTGCATTCCATCTCATCCATCCACCCACTGACCTTATCCTCGTCGATCGCATGTCTACCTGGTCCATGTCCACCTCACACTGTCCACCCCCCCCCGTTATCTGCCATAGCTCACTATTAATCCCAAGTCTACCTAAGTATCATTGGCCATCTATGCACTCTTCACGGAGTTCCGCTTCTGTGTCAAGCATTGTTCTGCCCACTGAGGACAGACTAGAGAAGCAGCTACCGTTGCTCCTCCCCGCTGCCATCTAGGCACTGTCCACTCATCTCTCATCTAGCCAGCTTTCCCTGTCACTTCATATTTATCTTCAGGGGTCTCTCCTGGTCTCTCATCGCTCTCCACCGATTGACTCTTCATTCATATCCAACCGATCTTCTATCAATCTACAATTTATCTGTTTATCACCACTCAGCCGCCTACCTTATATAGATACTTCTTCCCTCTTCCATGCATCCACCATGGTAGATGCCATTGACCCATCTGTACATCAAATCATCCACTACATACCGCTTGCTGCCTTCCGGCCAGCCACCATCTCCTCACTGTCCATCCATCCACCATTCGGGTTTCATGAATTAGTTTTCCAGGATGCCGTCATCACCTACTTAGCCTTTCTCCACCTGCACATGGCCACCTTCTGCCTCCCCTCAGTCCACCCATCATTATCCACTCTCCATCGTCCACCTGCACTCTGCCTGGTGTCCTTCAGCTAGCAACCACGTATTTGCCGTTTGCGATGGTGACTCTTGGCTGTGAACTCAACAGGCTCTGGAATCAACCAAGAGGAAAGTTTCTGGGCACGGCTCTGGGGTTTTTTTTTTTGATTAGGTTGAAAGACCCAGTCTAAGTGTAGACAGTAGTTTTTGGTAGAGGCCCAACTATAAGGAGGTTTGAGGGGGGCTTAGCCTGGCTGTCTTCACAGCCCACTGGTGAACTCATCCACTTTTTTGCTGCTACTGCCATGGTTGTTGCTGTTTTCACCAAATCAGCACCCGGCTTCCTTAGCTTCCCAGAGTGGATTGAAGCCCATTGGCTCTGCAGGAATTCCCCAGGTCTTCAGAACCAGATTAGGACTGCTGGGGCATGCAGCCTCGGGGAGTGAGCAGCCACAGTTTTCAGCCTCTCTTGTGTGACGAGGACCACGGCTGGACTTCCCAGGCTGTGTTGGATAAATCCCTCTGTAATATCTATCCATTCTCTTGTTCTGCTCCTCTAGACAGCTCTCATCCACCATCCGTGCCCCACCCACCTTCTGTCTGACATGCTCTTGCCCATCACTCATGATCCATCCACCGATCCTGTGACCATCAGCACTTTCCACTTAACTTTATTTGAATAGCCCCAACATAAGCAACTTACTAACTATCCACCTTGCATCTATGCTTTAACTACCAGATGTCCACCATCCACCATCTGTCACCTACAGCCCACCTACTATCTATACGTTCATTCACTTTTTTTTTAAAAAAAGATTTATTTATTATGTACAGTGTTCAGCCTTCATGTTTGCCCGAAGGCCAGAAGAGGGCGCCAGATCTCATTACAGATGGTTGTAAGCCACCATGTTGTTGCTGGGAATTGAACTCAGGATCTCCGGAAGAGCAGTTAGTGCTCTTAACCTCTGAGCCATCTCTCCAGTCCCATTCATTCGCTCTCTACCGATTGACTCTTCATTCATATCCAACCGATCTTCTATCAATCTACAATTTATCTGTTTATCACCACTCAGCCGCCTACCTTATATAGATACTTCTTCCCTCTTCCATGCATCCACCATGGTAGAACAACCAAAGGCCTTGTTTCCAGTGCCTGCTTAACCCCTGTGCATACATCCCGCTTACATCATTCTACCGCTGTGTGCAACATGCGTCCCTCAGCTAGCCTTCCAGCCACATAGTAGCTCACCCTCTTCAGCACACTTCCATCCCGTCATCTATGATCCTGACATGTCGGGGTCCGTAGCCCGGACTATAGATTATTTCTCTTGACCAGACCCCAACATAAACCATCTCTCTCTGGACAGGCATGGAGGCGTGGGAATAAAGACACAACTCACATGGCTTTATCGAGAGAGAGATTCTCCATGATCCCTCATGAAATCCTGAGTTTACATCCTGAAGAATGTTTCTCGTTTATTTTCCAAACAGCTTGTATACCAAAACATAAACTGAGTGGGAAATACACCAGCATTCTGTCTCCTAGGTAACCAGGTGAATGGTGTTTTGTCACGTTTGCATTCACCTGTCTGCTGGGTATGCTAGCTGTCACGTAGGCTTGAATTAGCACTTTTATCAGGCATCCTCCAAATTATAAAGAAAGGAGCAACAACATCCTGAGCTTTTGTTAGGGCAGTGACAGCCTGTCTGCAGGGCTGCGTGACCACCTCAGGTGGGGCCTATGGCTTCAGAGCCTGGCTGCCACACCATATAGAAATATGGGCTTACACTGACATCACTGATAATGTATATCAGTCAACTATTTTCATCTTTCTTTAGACCTATTTTCATAATTTATCCTTTTTCTTACTTACCATTCATTTCCTCACTCAGTCATAAACCAAGGATTAACTTATTGATAAGTATTAAAATTGTTGTGTAGGAATGACAGGAGAGGTGGCTCAGCAACTAAGAGCATTTGTTGCTCTTGCTGAGGACCTGGGTTCAATTCCCAGCACCTGAGGATGCCAGGCATACACATGGTACACAGACATACATTCAAGCAAAACATTCATACACATAAAATAAAACAAATTAATCTCTAAGAAAAATTCAATATAAATTATTAATAAGCATTCGTTGTTCAGCACTGGGTTCTGAAATCATCAAGACATATAAGAAGCAACCTAAATTCATGGTCCAGTGATCCACAAAGAGCCAACAAGCCAGTGAGTATTGGCATAAAAGCCTGCATTTAGGGGCTGGAGAGAGGGCTCAGTGGAAGCATGTACTGCTCCTGCAAAGGACCCCACTTCTGGTCCAAACCCCACATCAGGTGGCTCATGACCACTTGTATTCCAGCTACGGAGGATTTGATACCTGCTTCTGACCTCATGGAAACGAACACTCATGTGCACACAGCCACAGTTTCATACATGCAATTAAAGATAAAAATAAATCTTTAAAAATGTGCTTTGCCCTGAAATTTCAGTGCCTTCATCTCTTGGGTCTGGGGCAGATGAAGCTTGTTGTCCCAGTTCCCAGGGAGGAGGAGTGGGAGGAAAGAGTCACATTGGAGGGCTGTGCCTGTGGCTGCAGCCTGGGAGACCTGGTGGCGTGATTCAGAAGCCTGAGACTGGGTAATATGGTGACAGAGATCCTGCTGAGTGGATAGGTCTCCGATTTGGGGACAATGAAGAGCTCCAACAGACTTTGGGGGGGTGCATGTTCTTAGAAAGGACCACCTACATACATATACCCCTCCACTCCGGGCACAGAAGCCCAAAGGTCAGACCAAAGCATCACATGCTGATTGATCAGATGCCAGGGCCACTGCCCACTGTGGCTTCAGCTGAACCATAACCTTACAGCAGGAAGTGCTCTGTGCGGACATACCCCTCCCTCTGCTCCATCCTTTCCCCCCTTCCTTCCTTCCTTCCTTCCTTCCTTCCTTCCTTCCTTCCTTCCTTCCTTCCTTCCTTCCTTCCTTCTGTGCAGGAATTGCTCGCCTTACAGGTGTTAACTGCCATCTGAAGTGTTAGCTGGCATTCAAGGTGTTAGCTAAGGAGAGGCTTCAGCGGCAAGGGTTTGGTCCCGATAGAGCTCTCTGGAAGAGCTGTGCTGTAACGGATGGGGGTAGGGAGTGTCTGTAAAGACAGGGCCAGCCCAGAGCTTCCTACAAAGTCACCTTGGGGCCTCAATGTGCTTTTGTCTCAAATTTTAGGTCTTTCCCACCTTCATGCCCCCACTTGGGGACTTCTCCACAGAAAAGGGCAAAGTTGATAGCAGGAACTTTGTGTCTGATTGTCTGAGGATCACTCCCTGGGGCTCCCTGTCGGTGCCAACGGAGTGAGGGATGGCGGACTGAATGAAGGTAAAAATTGAGTACCTCTGTGTAGGAAGACAGGTGCTGGCTTTGGGCCTAATAGTTTGCTCTTGTTGCCCTCTGGTGGCTGCTCGAAGCATTGGTAAGT